GCATCTTTCTGATGGTTCATGTTGGCATCTGACCTAGGGGAGCATCAGGAATTACCACCAGTGGAGATTTTGGCTGCACCTGACTTCTCGTGTCTTATCTGTTTTTGCCATATTTTCAAATGGTTGAATTACATTAGGCTTAAATAACCTTTTAAAATAAGTTTGTCACAATATCCTGTACAACAAAGTTTGTACATTGTACGAATATTTATGTTTTTATGTCAAGTATCTTCTTATCTGGCTTAGAAAAATGCAGCGTTAACCTCAGTCATCCCTATTTTATGTTGAATACCCATTAATTCCTTTTTCTTAAAATTTAACTCTTAATGTTTGGGGTAGTTTTTTTATGATCTAAATGCAATTTGTGGTTCGTGGTTTTTTCCTAAAAAAATCTTGATTTAATTAAATAGATGTAGTCCTTGTTGAAAGTATTCTTTGTGCAGAATATACCTTTATTTGCATTAAATTAAACAAGGAGCTATCACAACTGGAATAAAAGTGCTCTATTTCAGTCATAGTACATAATCTTGTAGGTAGTAGTGCCAAAGCTGTTTGTCATATGTTTTATAGACAAAACCTAAACCACAGCCTTTGAACTAAACATCAAAAGGCCTTTGAAGATACTTTGGAGAGTTGTTTTCTTGTAAGGGTCTCTTAATCCCAGTAGAGGCTTTTGTTTGCTTTTCTGTTTGTGGGTTGGGGGTTTTTTTTCTTCCTGAAGAGAAGGGATTTCCTACTGACTTTATCAAGAGACTTTTCCAACTGCTACTTATCAAGAGCTCGTCTGTACAAGTCCTGCTTCTGTCATCCCCTAACTGAAAGCATAGAGTTATCAATACTGCCTTAATCTCTCAAGTCACATAAAATTTAATATCAAATATTGTACATTGCCTCTGGTTGTTCTTTGTACTCTCCTTTAGGATAGAGAAAGATGCAAGTCTTCATCAGACAACAAAGATCAGGCATTTTTTGAAGCATAGTTTTCATTGTCCAAGTGCCTTTTAGTGTTGTGTCAGTTTTTTCTTGTTGATTTGTTTTGTTTTCAATTGCATTCTTTGTGTCTTCTGTGAACTGTTCCCACTCCTGGACCTTGACCTTTTTTCCACACTTTTTTTTGCACCACCAGGCATTTCACTACATGCCAAGCCTCCTGACCACCACTGTGGCAGATGGGCATTATTCCCCCGTGTAGAAGCCCAGAAATGACAGCTAATACAGTCAGCTGCTGTGACATCTTGTGGGCAGATGTTCCTGATCAGTATGGTGCCCTGTCTGAGGGCTTGGGAGCAAAAAGATGGCCAGATAACTCAGCAAGGGTTGTAGGTCTTGTGCTTAACTTCTTACACATCTATATAACAGAATCAAAGAATGCTTTGGCTTGAAAGGGACCTTCAAAGGCATCTAGTCCAGCCCCTTTGCAGTGAGCAGAGACATCTCCAAATAGACCAGTTTGCTCAAAGCCTCATCCAGCCTGACCTTTAGAGTTTCCAGGGATGGGTCATCTGTCAGCTCTCTGGGCAGCCTGCTCCTGTGTTTCACTAACTTCATCACAAAACAATTATTATATCTAGTCTGAATCTACCCTCCTTTAGTTTAAAACCATCACTTCTTGTCCTGTTGCTGCAGGCCTTGCTAAAAAGTGTGTCCACATCTTTTTTATAAGCCCCCTTCAAGTAGCCAGTGGTTGGGAAGTGTGGTACTTTTAAGATTGTGCTTGTGCTTTTAAATATTGAGTAATATTTAAAAGGGTGTCTCAGATTTGTGGGTAAAACTAACAACTTTGTGGAATGTCAAAAGAAGTATCTTTAAAATTACAGCTGTAAGGTTTGCTCAGATGTAAATATTTTAATTGCCAGGGATGTGTATTTTCACTGTTTAAATAGATTTTAATGTGTGAAGAATATAATTGAATACTACACATGTGACTTGCAAAATTAGTTCCTTATCTCCTTCAAGTACTTACAGCAACTTAATCAATAAAAATATATTTCTGTCAAACATGTAATTTTCATATGTGTTTTAATCCCTAGAAGTAACTGTCTTCTGGACACTAGCTAGTATGTATTTTCAGGTTAGGAGCTAATCTTATGTCAGAAAAGATAACTAAACCTGTGATGCAATGTTTGAGAAGCTTGAGTGAGGTTGAAACTGTCAGCAAGGTAGTCAGGAGGAGCTGTGTCCCCAGGTATGCAGTATAGAGGATAAATGTGTTGGCATTTCATCCCGATTGCAGCTCTCAAGTTCTGCTTTGCAGCCAGAGCACCGAGTTTTGTGATCATGCTTTAAAGCAGAGCTAGAATAAGTCCCTAAAAGAATGTACTTAAATGCAACAAGAAAAGGTGGCACCAGCTCAGTGGGTGCACTGTGCACCCTAAGTTAATTTGGGCCTGTAACCATTGTGACAGAGAGAAACATACAGCAAGAGGAGATGCTTTTGAATTGTCAAAATCTAATATATTTTCAAGATGTGAGCAGAAGATCACACAGATTTTCATTACAATGTAGGTGTTGGCTTCAGTAACTTGCCCATAGTTGGTAAGTTGTATAAACTTTTTAAGGAAACCTGAGTATCCCATCTCGTGCAGGTATAGTTTTCATTGTTTGAACTGTTATGATGAGTTCAGCAGCATTGCTTTGCTTTGCTCTCGAGCTTGCCACAAGGAACTGAGATACTCATGTGGAGGATTGGTCCTGGGACATGTGCTGTGCACACTTGCAGCTGCTGAGCTCTGTGTTGAGCCTTTGGTCTGAAATCACAAACTCAAAAGTCCAGTACCAGTTGTAAAACTGAGCAAAATTTTTCATGAGGTTGCTGTAGCTTATCTTGGTGGCACCAGTGGGAGGGGAGGAGTTCCCACACTGTGTCTTTACAGTGCATGACCATTCTAAGGATTTGTTACAGGATCTTTTTCTTAGAGTGCATTCAATACAATTTAATACACAATATGTATGTGTGTTCATATACCCACTAGTTAGAAAGACATGGAGTCAAATGGAGCCTATTTTTGTCTGCTCCATAGTAAAGAAGAGAGGATGGTGTGTGTGTGTTTTGTTTTGTGCAGGGATTTTGTTTTCCTTTAAATGTGATGATATGCAGAGACTTTTCTTTGAGCTGGCAGTGTGATTACTTCTTGGAAGTTCTGTACTGAACTAGAAAGGGCATGTTATAATTTGTGAAGCGAGACATTTATTAATAGCTAGAACTAAATCTAAAAGCCAGGTTTTGTCTTTGGGTCTAACATTGCTACTCTTAGGCATTCTGCTTTTGAGTGGCTGTGGAATTGTAACAGAAGAGGTTTGTGCTCCATTAAATGCCTGTGGTGCCATGCTTTGTTTGAAGGCAGGGCAGAAAACGTGCAATGACAAGCTTGGGTTTTATTTGATTGGCCTTGTAAACCTCATACAAGCAAAGACAATGGAATGATCTTTAAATTGACCTTCCTTGAATGTTTCCTTGCAGCATTGGAAACACAGCCATAACAGCCTTGTGCTGGTATAGAAGAACCAGAAATTCAGTTGAGTAGTTCATTGTCTAATCTGAGTCAAATACTCAATTTAAACGACATTTGAGAGGAGAAGTGAAACTGTAATTTTAAAATCCTTTAACATACAGTTTGAGGAAAACAGGTAAAGCATCCTTCAACTGTTTTTCTTTGAGAATGTTGGGGATACGTTTAAAATATCAGGACAAGAAGGAAGAAACAGTGAAACTATCCCTTTTCCAATTCCTTGTGGTATTAGAAACAGAAGTTTTTAAATTTATTTTGAGTAAGTAACAGTAAGAAACATATAAAGAATTGATACTCTAACCTGTAAATATGGGAGTTGAAAAAAATTCACACAGGATTTTCCAACCATTTGAATTTTGTTCTGATGTACCGTGCTGCTTTCTCAGTTGTAGGAACAGTTTTTCCTTATGGAATGTATAGACTTGTTCACAGACTTCCCATCATAATTTAAGAAAACTCTTGATACCTTCAACTTTGGGGGTACTTTACCTTGATTTGTGTATTCTGTAATTTAAACATTGATAGTGCCAAGATTGTGTCATTGTGTATTCTTGTTGTTCAGTATGGAATTAAGGATTTTGCATGGACTTTGCTTTTTACACATTAGGAGATGAAATTTTGCAGGCTTAATGTTTTAGGTGTTTAGAGCGTACTTGTTTCAAATGCTGTTGTTAATCAAAGTAAATTTCTGGCTAAATTTATTATCAGGAGCTCTGAAAAGCTGTAATAGTTGAATTCAGCATAACATTGTGTGTTTTATGGCCAGTTTTCACATAATCCACACAGGCAGCAACTTCTCATGCTTCCTTTATGTGAACTTTTTCAAATTTTGAAAAAAAGCCCATTTAGCAAACTTTGTAGGGAGGTACAAACCTCAGGTAGATTTTAGCAGCTTTACTGACAGCAACAGGTTTGTGAACTGGCTTTGGTGTAACCAGAGTTTGAGAGACCCACTCTGCTCACGAGGAATGGGACACTTGGGTAAAGGCCATTGCCACTGCCTTCTTCATTCTGGGTGGGTTTATCTGAGCTGTGGGATGGTGGCCTGCAAAACTGAAGTCAGATTCAAGCAGGTGTTTGGTAGTGGCATGGAATTTTGTGCTTCCTGTAGCTATTAGGCTTGGCCAAAGCGTGGTGGATCAAAACCTGACCTGGCACGTTGGTGCTCAGTGCTGCTCCTGAAGTCCCAGCCAGTGCCTTTCCCAGTCAATCAAAGCCAAGTCACCAGGGGAAGGGGGGAGGTTAACCTCAGGAAAAGAAGACTTGGTAAAGAAGCAAAGAATTAACAGAGGGAAGACAGTCCTTGGAACTGAAAATTGAGAGTGTTTAAAAACCTGGAAATTCTGTAAATACTTGTGTAGAATGTGAATGGATAAATAATCACAGTTCAGAAGAGCTGGGAGTTACTTTTAAGCTTTAATGTACAAATATGGTTTCTCTTGTGCTTTGTAGTGATGTTTTGAGTTCTTACTGAATTTTTTCTTGATGTAGGTTACACACTACAAGCAATATCCACCTAACACAAGCAAGGTATATTCCTACTTTGAATGTCGTGAAAAGAAGACTGAAAATTCCAAATTAAAGAAACTGAAATATGAAGAAACAGTTTTTTATGGCTTGCAGTACATTCTGAATAAATATTTAAAAGGTAACTGTCTTAAATTCCAGTGAAACCTTTTCTCTAATTAAATGTCTAACTTTTTCTCAAGCTTGTAGTCTTATAATTGAAACAATTCCACGTTATACTGATATACCACAAGTAGTGACATGCATAATACCTTATTTATGTGATTGTGAAAAAAGTTATCCACCCTCATAAATTGGTATTAACTTCTTAATCCAGACACCCCTCTACTGCCTTTATTTATGCCAATGGTGTATTAAAAATGAAAAGGTGTCCATGTTGCAACTTCAGTGGACAAAATTGAAACAAATGGAAAGAGACCAAAGCTGTGCATAGAGTCACAAGCAGAGAGAAGATTTGATGGAAAATACATTTTGCATGTTGAGCATTAACCTCAGTTCTATATTTTCTGGTTTGTTTACTGTATAAACCAATAATAGTTTCAAATTTCCTTAAATTTAATTTTTCCTTAAATTTTGAATGGCCCTCAGCCTAGATCATTAAGTATGGCAGATACATGTGAAAATGGTTTTTATACTGATCATTTTAAGAGTAACATCTGAAAATTCCTTGGTGCTGTCCAAGATCTTTTTTGCTTTTTTGCCTTATGTACAAATATCACCTGTTCTGACCTGAGTGCATGTTGCCTTCTGCCAAGCTTTAAAGGAAAACTTTAGTCATACATCTTGTGGTTTTGTCTTGATCTAATAAACATCTCTGCCAATTCCACCAAAGACTGAAATTTCATTATAATCAAAACACTTGATACTTTTGTTTCTTTTGTCCTTAGCAATCTGAGGGTTGTTCTCTAAGGTAGATGATTGGCCCTACACCAGCAGCATGCTTATTCAAATAATGTGGTTATTCTGCTGGTTCCAAGCACAAGTGGTCAGTCAAAGGTTGGTTGCAAAGTCCCTCCATGGGAATTCCCTCTGGAATGGCACAGCTTAACCCTTGTGCTGGATATGTCCTTGCTGCATGTACCAGCTTGCACAATCAACACATTCCTTTGTGAAAAGCACTGCTGTTCAACCTCTTGACTGGTTTTTGACCGTCATAAAAGAGTAACAATCTCAAAATTTTCCTGAGTCATCTGCAAACCCCAAGTGTATTTTACCCTCATGGTTTCTTGAGCTTTCTAATCTGTATAATAAATTATGATTTAAGCATTCTGCATTTGACGTTTTGTTCATATCTTTGTTGAAGGCAAAGCAACTTTGCTGTGCCTGAACCTTTTTGTTATTTATTTTATCAGCTGATGAATATTGCAAGTTTCTAAGCCTTCATCTGTTTCTGAACTCCAGGTAAAGTGGTGACCAAAGAGAAAATCAAGGAAGCCAAAGAAGTATATAGGGAGCATTTTCAAGATGATGTCTTCAATGAAAAGGGATGGAACTATATTCTAGAGGTAAAAAAAATTGCAAAAATAGTTGGAGATCACTGTGAAGGATTTCTGAATCAACAGTAGAATAAATATGGCAGTCTCTCCTTTTAATCTTGATAGTGAAGACTGGATAAATTTAGCTTTTCATGTTTAGTGTACAGGGAGTAGCAGCTGTCAAAGAATAATCATATAATTGTAATTCCTTAGAGAAAAGTAATTTCCATCCTTTCAGATGCCAAATGCAGCTTTGCAGGTAATAAGGATTTATGGCTGCTGCCAGCCAGCTCCTGTGAGTGAGTGAGTGGGGGCTTGTTGGCAGCTCTCCATGTGTGATACAGCACTCAGTGCTTGCCTGCATCATTTACATTTCTCTCTCTAACTAGTCATTACAGTGTTTACTCTAATGCAGAAAGCATTGCAACTTCTTGGGTGTATAAATAGTTGGAGAAAATACACATTTGTTCAGTTGTTTTATAAGTGTTTCAGAGATATGAGTGTTGAATTTTATTATAAAATACAAGGCTTGAGCATTTCTGACACACAAAACCTTTTAACTTTAGTCTTTTCACAAATATCCTTTTCCCCTTTTGTTTAAAAAAGTGTTAGACTTAAGTAATTGCAGACATCTCTTCTCTGTAAAAGCAGCAGATTCAGACTAATAGCATTCATCAGAGCTGTACTAATCTCTGCAGAGTAATTAAATGCTTAGTTTCATTGTGGGTTTTGGTGAGTGAATATTTTTGGTATTTGAAAGCTCCTTTTTTAGTCCTCTGCATTTATATTTCTCTGGATACCTTAATTGTATGTAGTTTTATGGTGACATCTCTTTGTTAATGTATCTGATGTCATCCTGCCACTGGAGTGGACCATAGGTGTGCAAGAGAAGAGTGACTTTCAACTAAGTGTTGCAAATGGCAACAAGGTAAATAAGCCCACAGTTTTTTAAGAGAGAGTTATGGAGAAGTTTGTAGAGGACTTGCATCCAGTTCAAATAACTACAAATTTGAATTCAATCCATATTTGTGTTTAAGCTACATTGTACATTGTGAACTGCTTTCATCTGTGTTAAAGTAAGCTTGATCCCTCTATGGATAAACAGAATTAATACACTTTTAATTTTGCATGTCTGTCCTCACTGAGTTGTAATGTGGCTTGACTAAGTCCATTCAACTTTTGTTCTAGTCAAAATAAGCATTCTTGCATACCCTCTGTGTATGTTTATTCCTTTGTCAGGTTTTCTTATTAAAAGTGTGGGTGTGTATTTATATATATAAAAACCCAAACATGATTTTCTTGTCTGGATCTCATGTGCTGGTGGCTCTCAAACTGGAAGTGTAGGTACTCTTTGAGTCTGTGTGTGCCCTTTGTGCACAGAATTACTGCTCCCTGAATTGCAGTGTTTGTTCACACAGTGCCACTGTTCCTCCCTAGCTCAGTGCCTCAGGTGAGGTGGGGAAAGTGGAGGGTGCAGTGGCTGTGGGAGTGAAGTGCCAGGATGGATTTGAAATGATCACCTCTCAGTTTGTACTTGAGAGTAAATGAATGGGTAAATACTGATAGGGTGAAGGGCTGGAAGAAAGAAAAGGATTTCTTGGAGAACAGTGGGCAGGTGCAAAGGCTGGCAGTTGGCAGGAATCAGTGATGAGTGATAGAGATGGAAGTCCTGAGTTGTGCAAGTCAAGTCTATCCAAAATTTTTGCAAAGGGCAATAATACAGAGCCATGGCATGATCATATCATTTTTCCCATGGGCAAAATCAACAGCTACAGCAACTTTGCAATCTTTTCATTCTTTTTTTCATTTAACTATACTTTTGCCTTTATTGAATCATGAATAAATTATTTTGAACCTTTTTGAAGGCTTTATCTTTTATTAATCTATTATCTTCAAATCTGGCAACTAGACCCTGTGTGGTATATAAAAACAGTTTGCTTCAGGTTATCACATTTTTGAATAAACTTTTAAACTGTAAGGTAGAAGAGATTTCTGATGTCTGTTGAGTACTGGAGAATATGTTTTGGTGCTACTTATGACTCTGTAATTTCTCTGAATTGGTGCAATTTTTGTTGCCTTTAAGAGAATATCTCATGGGAAGCTTTCTGTCAAAATATATTACCATCCAAAACATTTTCAGTATTACCAGTACAGCTTGCAGAGCTCCTTCAGAAAGTTACAATTAGTCTTCTAGAGTTGCTATTTGCAGGTTACTCTTTTGAAAAAGACATATTTTACACAATGTTTAGTCCTTTGGGGATAAAAGACTGACAAAGGAGTGACACTCCAGTGTAAGACTTCATGTTTAAGTTTAAGTAATTAAGATGAAAATATTCTCTAAAATAGTTATTAAATGGATCCTGCTGTAATAAATGAACAAAGCACACATTCATACTAAGCAAAACTAGTGAATTTTTTAGAAATATGAATAATAGCTAAGCTAAACTCTTTTTAGCTTACTACATGTCAAAGCATTGAAGAAAATGAGTAGTAAGTATTTCTCAATCTGTGGGTAGGACTTAGGTATTTTCAAAGAATGCTTAGGCTTTTCTGGCACAATTTGCTCAAGGAATATAACTGATAACAACCATCATTTGTTTTGATAGAGACTAGTTTTTAAATTATAGTATTTTTGTCCTTTTTTTCATAAATACAGATTTTTTTAATTTATTTGGACTGGTGAGTTTATTTTTAGAGTTGAAAGAAATTAAGAAGAAAGCTTTTATTCATTCATAGACTTTTATCCATTGCAGTTAAATAAAAGAGCTGTAAGTCCTAATCTTTCCTGTTGTCTAACAACATTACTGTTCCTTACACAGAAATATGATGGCCATCTTCCCATAGAAATAAAGGCTGTTCCTGAGGGCTCTGTAATTCCCAGAGGAAATGTTCTTTTCACAGTAGAAAACACAGATCCAGAGTGCTACTGGCTCACAAATTGGATTGAGGTAAGTTTTGGTAATTTAACACCTTTTTTCTAAGTAAATATTAATGCACTTAAATTCAAGGTTGAATCCTGTATTGCTTTATGGGAAATCTCTGGCAACTTTCATTTTCTATTTTAATTCTTTTCTGTAGTCATCTTACATAAACCTTTTTCCCCCACCTGGCAAGGGATCATAATAATTGTACAGGAAGTTCACAGCAGTACTTTTATCCATAAAAAAGGAGGATGGGGGAACTGTGTGTCTGTGGTTTGCTAGTGATAACTGCTGAGAAGGTTAATGCCTTGCCTACCTTATAAAGGCTAATTACTTAAGCCCTAAAGCAAACTGTTGGAGGCATCAGTACTTTCTGAACAGGGAATGAAAATAAATAGACCTTTTTGTGTCTGAATAAATGCCAGCTGGGCATTGTCAAGCTCTAAACAAATATGCAACTAATATGATGGATTTTGTTTTAGACAATTCTTGTGCAGTCATGGTACCCAATCACAGTGGCTACAAACTCTAGAGAGCAGAAAAAGATTTTAGCCAAATATTTGCTGGAGACTTCTGGCAGCTTGGAAGGACTGGAATATAAACTGCATGACTTTGGCTACAGAGGAGTTTCTTCACAAGAGGTAAAACTGCTTGTCTAGCAGTTTGAAAAGTCTGATTGTTCCTAGCTATGACGAGTTGTAGATGCCTGTTAACCTCTGTGACCCTGTTCTGCCCTGAAATTGTGAATGCACAGAGCCTTGTGGTTGGGCTAAGTGTGGAGGGTTTGGGTACAATGACTGGACTGGGAGAGGTTTTCTCTGTCTTCCCAGTGTAAGTGAATGAAGGGAATATTGGTGAAGTGGGAATTGAGTCAGTCTTGCTGTTACAAACTAGTGCTGGGTGGTGACTGGAGCCTTCTGTATCTGGCATGGAAACTGACAGTTGCATCCTCTTCAGACTGCAGGAATAGGAGCTTCAGCTCACTTGGTGAACTTCAAAGGAACAGACACTGTAGCAGGAATTGCATTAATTAAAAAGTACTATGGTACAAAAGATCCAGTTCCAGGATATTCTGTTCCAGCTGCTGAACACAGGTAAGATACTAGTCTAAACCTTTTTAAGAATAGCTTAACAAAATATGATCATTTTCTTACCCCTCTTTGTGTCCAGAAATATACCATACAGTATTAGCCATGACTGATCCAGCTGTTGAAGCTGCAGTTCTGTACTGATGCCTCTGCATGTGCTAGGGGCACATAAGTAGCATGGTTGCTCTTAGCTATAAATATATTTTAAATGTTTTTAACTCTTTCTTATCAATGTCTTTTTAGAATAAGCTTGAAGGTTTATAGTCTATAGATACTGAGGATTCAAATTATGAACTTCAAATTTTGTTTTAAATATAAAATCATAAATTGACAAACTCTGAGTTGCAGTTCCGGACTCTCACTGTTCATGTTCTCCCTCCAGAAGAGGCAGTTGCTCTCAAGCTTCCCATCAGTGTAACTTGTAATGGTAAATCCTTGCTGTATCACTAAGAATGGTGAATGAGTTTTTAAGTGTAAGGAAACTGATCTCAAACATTTGAGAGAGAGAGCTCTTACTTCTTTTCAAATCCATGTCCTGTACAAGGTTGGGAGTGAATGCAAATCCTTGAATTTCAGTTGCATGTCTACGCACTGAAATGAGAATATAAAACAAGGTTGGTTGTGTGTTTCACAGTGAGCACAAAACCCAGTTAAATATTTACTATTGCTTTTAAATAGTTGTTATTCACTTAGGGTTGCAAGAAAGGCTTACATTAATAGCCCTTGTAGGCTAGTGAGCACCTTTAAAGCAGCACTGCTTCACAGAACTTTTGTACCATTGCTGTAGTGCTGCTCTGGAACTCCTGCCTGACCAATTGATGTGACAGTTTTTGTCTGAAATTTCTGAAGAGCACAACTACTATAACATTTTTTGTAATGAAAGCAAGAAACACATGGAGTCAAGATCAAGTGTGTTTTGCCCAGGATATTAAAGTGGTGGCATTAGAGCAGAGAGCTTAAACTGCCCTGCCTAAAGTTTGCACCACCAAATGTGACTGCAGTCACCCTCTCCAAGTTAGTACAAAAAGGGTCTCCTACAAGAGGCCCAAATTTTTACAGAATTGTTTTACTGTTCCACAACCTCCAATACAGGGTGGTGTTGTGAGCATGGTGCTTGCCCTGGCATGTCATAGGGCTCTTCTGAGACTGCACCAACCTCTGTGAAATAAAGTTTGTTTGTCTCCCTGCTGCCATGATCTGAGACTTGGCCACACAGCAGATAATGCTGGAATTTTAAGGTAAAAATTCAATGCCTGCTGACTCTTATGTTGTGCGTGAGAGCATTTTTAGGTCTTTGCACACAAGTTATTAAAGTCAATTATGTCAGCTGGTCTGAGCAGCTACTGCAGATCAACTGCATTCAGTAATTTACTACTGCTCTCAGCAGCTCTGGTTTATGTGCTCTCCTGTGGCCTTATACCAAGGGTAATGCTCTCAGATTCCTCTGGAGGACTGTTTGTATAAGTGAGAATATTTGTTTTATATCACTGTTAAAAAAGACAATAAATTCTGTTTCCTTCTTTAGATTTTTCTAACACATGGTGAGGTGCTTCATTCTCGACTTTCCATTTTGTAGCATGAAGTTGTCAGAGCAGATGTTCTGTTCTTGCCTCTGTAGTTCCCTAACTGTCTGAATGAAGTCTGTTGATTTAGTATATAGTGTATTTATAATCCATGCAACACAGAGCTGATAAGCACATAGTTTCTGCTGTCATGTAATCATACTGCTTATCATTGCCCTGAACTGTTGCTGGTAGGAAATACAGAATGACATGTAAATGCAATTCTAATGTGAGTTTTTCAATTACCTTTGCAGTACCATAACAGCTTGGGGAAAAGATCATGAAAAAGATGCTTTTGAACACATAGTAACACAGTTTTCTTCAGTGCCTGTATCTGTGGTTAGTGACAGCTATGACATTTACAATGCTTGTGAAAAAATATGGGGTGATGACCTAAGGCATATAATTGAAGCCCGAAGTCCAGAGGCACCACTTATTATTAGACCAGATTCTGGGAATCCCCTTGACACTGTTCTAAAGGTAATCCTTTCTTGAAGCCATTTCTGTACAAGATTGGGAGGGCAATTGTTTGGGTTTTTGTAATGACTGGCTAGCAAACCTATAAGGCTCTAACTTGGTATTCATTGTATGTATTTGATGCTGGCTGATTGGGACCTATGAAATATGTAAATGTTTACTTCACCTCAGTGTATATATATGGAAACTCTTTTGCAGTCCAAATAGTTTCCTGTTTTTCATCAATTCTTGCATATGGTTCTTGAAGCTTTTTGCAAGTTACCAGTTCTGCTGATGTAGTGATGTTGGAATGCTTTTATAAAGAGAAGCTTTTATCACTTAACAAATGCAATGGGAAATTACTTCAGTGCTAGTAAATGCCAGGCCAATAACAATTCTTACCTACTAAGTTTAGCTATCTTGGCATCCCATGTTAATGTAATTCATTATTTTGTGCTATAAATACATGTGTAGCCCTCTTCTCTCTTTAATAATATGTGCATTTAAGTCAGTGGCAGAGTCCACACAGAAAAATGCTTCTTCCCTTATTGCTCTTTAGAAAGCATAATGATTGTTTCAGTTTCATAATAAAAGCTGTTGATACCTCTGAATTTGAGTAACTGTCACCACTGTCCAAGTAAGAAGGCTGGGGCAATGTTGCTCTATCAAATTAGATCTATGCAGATTTAACACTTTTTTTTCCCTTTGGGGTAAGTGGCATATCACAAATAGGAACTCTGATCTTTATCAGAGCTGATAAGAAAATCTCCTAGCTGAAGTGTTTCATTTTAACTATTTGTGGCTTACAAAATCATAAAAAACTGAAACGCTCATCTACCCTCTTAAGGGAGGGCAAAAGAAGAGCAGGATCTTCAGCTGACACATTTAATAACAAAAAGTCACATCAAGCAAAGGGAGAAAGGGTGGAAGCATGGTTCTGATTAGCTCTTGGGTGCAACTTGTTAAAGACCATATTGTCTGTGACTGCTTTAAGGGCTTTCACCACAATGGCTGGCATGCTTTTTTTGTGTGTGGATAGATTTAGAGCATGTTTATGTGGGTATATTGATGGACTTATTTTAATTTTTTAGAAAAAGCATGACTCAAGTGTGGAAATTTCTTTCTTTATTGGAATGGCAGATTTTTATTTTAATTTTGAACTTTCCACTTTTCAATAGGTGTTGGAGATCTTGGGGAAGAGGTTTCCCATTACAGAGAATTCAAAAGGCTATAAGTTGTTGCCACCATATCTCAGAGTTATTCAAGGGGATGGTGTGGATATCAACACACTGCAAGAGGTAGGAGATCCTATTCATGTGTCAGGGTGACACTGATAAGGTTGATATTTAATCTGGACTCTGTTACAACTAGTCAGATGTTGCAGCAGAGACTGCTGACCCCACCCCTGCCCTTCATTCCAGACACTGGCAGTGATATCATAATGCATAAAACAAATTCATTAATACTCCACAGGAAATTATTAAGATGCATAAAAACCCCTAAAAGGCATTTTCTAATCCCCCTGTTGTAAACCTTCTCTTTCCACTGTCTCTCCTTTTGTTTGCTTTCATCATGCTTGTCAGGTCTCATTGAGATCAGAATGTGGCAGTGTTTGGTCATTTCATTGATGTCTAAGGCACACTGCATGATCACTGTGCTGCAGCAGTAATTAACTGCTTTGGCTCATTAGTTATGTATCTGAAGTCTGCTTGTCCTCACATATTGAAGGTGTAGTTTTGAAGGAAACTTTTTAGAACCTAGGGTAAGGAAAACAAGTTCCTTGATTGAGCAACTAGTGAACTAAGGATGAGTTGAGAAGCCTGGAAATATGTGTAAAAGGTTAGGCTATAGTCTTGAGTCAAAATTGCAATTTTACCAAGACATAAATTATTTAGTAAATTCTGCATGCTTGAAATAAGTCATAAATTCACCACTATTGACTAGAGGTAGATACTAGGCAATACAATATGGCTATGAAGGTGTAGACTGCAGTAACTACAGATGACAAAGGGCATGGAAGAGGAAGAGGATTTGACTTTGTCTGGTTTGTCCTGAGTCTTTCATCTTCAGCTGTATTAGAGTTCAAAACCAGAAATAAGTGGAATTAAGTTAAGATTAATATTACTTGAATTTATTGACATTTGTCTTAGCTTTCTAGACTGACACATCTTTAGGTTCTTCTCAACAAAGCTGACTTTTGCTGCTTCTCAAAATTATGAGCAAGGGAGGTATCAGTTTTGGGTTTTAGTTAGTCTGAAGCCATCTGCATGTCTAATGTGAGCACATAATGTGAACCTCAGTGACAGAACTGAGATTTGTCACTCGAATCCCCAGAGAGCAGTTAATACTGAGATTGTAATCTGATAGACCAACTGGAGTGCAGTCATGCTCTGCCGGTTTTCTTCCCCCTCCAATGGCCTTTAAAGTAAATTCTATTCTATTTTTTTGTCCCATGTGGCTTTTTGAGAATGTCCAACTATGCTAATATGCTTGACATAACACAATCATGAGAGGTTAATAGTTGGAAACAGAGTGTAATCATTAGATAACAGGGGAAGACCCTCTGTCAGAGAGAGCAAAACCCACACAGAAGAAAAACATTTCTGCTTGTTCTGAATAACAAACTAACAGGGCTCATGGCTGTGTTAGGCAAGTGTGTTATGGCTGAGATTTTCATGAGTTGTGAGAGGACAGAAACTGGACTATCCTTTCTTGTAAGGAACTTTGGTTGCTTTTTCTAAGTTATACTGGACAAAATTCAAGGATGTCATATGGCATCAATTCTAATTAAATATTAAAGCAAGTATTTAAAAATCTTTGCACTAGAGTGAAAAATGCTCTGCTCTCCAAGTTCTAAATACAGCAATAAAACAATTGCAACAGCTAATGGGAGAGAATGGGAGGAGAATAAGCAATCCTTTGTTCAGGTGATCTGCCTGTTGATATATTTTCTTTATGAAGCTGTAATTGATTATGAAACACCTACCTGTAACATGCAATAAGAGAGCAGAAGATCCAGTTCCCCAAGACATCCAGAGCACACAGGTCACTGCTGCCCAGTGGCATCTTCTCATTTCTTCCTGACTGAAATCTTGCTGTGCCTCATGTCATTGAACCACTAGTCATTAAAACTATTTAGACCCCACGTGTAGCAGCAAACCAACTCAGCCAAAAGGGGATCACTTTTGTGGTTGAGTGAATTAAATTGTACCCCAGAAAGGGGCTAATACTTGCCAGCACTATACAGAAGAAAACAACCTTGTTTTGAGCTGGGAGAAGTGGGCAGGAAGGAAAGTGACATTTGACAGTAGCAAATTAGGTTGGAGCAAAATGACCATGATATTGTAACCTAATTTTGGTTTTATTTAAATATTGTGAATATCTTCATCCTTTTATGTCAGCAAACCCCAGGTTTTACCATGCTGACTTTTAGAAGATTGTATAATAGCATAACATTTAAAAAAATCCCTAAAACAACAACCAAAACCCAAAATAAAACAACCCACCAAAACCAAACCAACACTGAAGTATAATTCATTCTTTTCCAAAAGGAGTTTCCATGAGCAAATACAAATGTATCACTGTGGCCATCTTTTTTCCCCCCTCTTGTAGCCCGTGCAAGATTTTTATTCCAAGTATTCTGTATCAGCTTTCAATTCTAGGCATGATTTATTGTTTCAGATCAGATGAAAGGTAATGGGTACAGTAGGAAAGTCTAAAATGGGTAATGACCAATAGTCTGATTTAGCTATCCAAAGTAGCTGAAACAACAATATAGAAAACAACTCAGAGTATAAACTGGATTTTAAAATTCTTTGTTTTAATAGGGGATGCTGGTAGAACAGGTAAGGAAACTTTTTTGGCTTTCTTTGCATTTTCACTTTTAAAAATCATTCAAATCTGCTAACTCCACACTTTCAAAGGATTTTCTTTGAACATTCAATTTCCAGATGTCTTTAAATTTTTATACAAAATTAATCCTCTAATCTGGAGTCACAGTTCATGTATTAATCATGCTCATAATGGTCAGAGGAAGCTGGTGAAAACCTTGACACCTGAATTGTTCTCCCTGTATAGGTTTGAAAGTGCGAAGCAAAAAATTCTTCTGTGTTGTTTTCCTTTGGGGGAGGCTTCAGTTCTTTCAGATCTCTCCCTTTTCTTCTTCCCTACTACCACTGCTGTTTGCCATCTCTTCTCCATACCTAAGGAAGTAATAAGAATATCTGGGCCTTGGCTGTGGGTCACTGGTACAGTCAGAGCTGACTATCAGCTTAGATTGATCTTTGGTGAGGAGGGGAAGGGAAATCCAGACTGAGTAAGGAAGTCCCTTGAGGGAGTGGAAGGCTAGAAGCCAGTTCTTCACCCAGAGTAAGTGAGGAGTTGTGCCTGTAGCATGAGGTGAACAAACCATCTGTAAATGAGAGCAGGAACAGGAGCTGCAGAGGGATTCACATTTCTTCTCACCCAGGCACGAGGGTTAAGCAGCCACGGCCCAGCCCTGCTGTTGTTGCACTAACATCTGTTAACCTGCAGGTATCAATTAGCATGGAGCCTCAGCACCACGTGCCTTGGTGTAGGATGTTGTTTGTACAGGTAATTGTGATCTTGCAGGTGTGTTAGAGTGAGCTCAGTGTCATTCCTGCCTTTACAAGTGCACAGTGAGGTGGGCAGGGCACACTGGCTCAGGCTTGGCCAGCAGCTCACATGGCTTCAGGCTTGCTCAGGGTCTGGGCAGAACCATGGGGAGTTTGCCTGTATTTACTCTTTGAAAGACAGCACAGATAAGTAGAGTCCATATCCAGGCCCAGTTAAATCTCATTTCTTATGGCTCCACTGGGCATTGTTCTCAAGTAGAAGGTATATAAAATACCATTTCTTACCTGTCCTTTGTCAGCTTTAGTTACTTTGAGGTACTTAAAGGAGAATTTAATTAATTGCAATTGTTTATCTTCCCTCAGTGCCTCTTTTAACTGCTTCCAGGAGAGTCTAATTACCTGAAAATAAAGATTCCTTTTGCTCTTGGTCACTGAGAGTGTATGATGTCTACTACTAAAATCCACAGGATTGTCATGTATTTAAGAGGGCATTTGTTCAAGATGCAAAGCTTTCAAAGGGTTCTCTTAAGAAGAGAACTTCTCTTAGAAGTCATGGAGGTAGAGCTTGAGAGGAATTTTGCTTGACTTGCCGAGTGAGGCTGAGTGAGTTGGTACCATTGGAATGGTGGAAACTCACTGATAAGGTTTCTCCTGGGGAAATCTGTGACAGGAGTGTAGTGGGAAGGTGTTCCCAGCATGTCCTGGGAAGGTGATGGCTCTGCTGTCCACGTGTCCTGTTGGCATTCAGACTGAGAGTGTCTGTGAAGAGTCTGCATGTGACTAAGTACATAAACAAAATACTGGTGTGCTCTTTTGTTTACAATACCAGTTTGTTACAGTCTGAAATTGGAATTGTGTTTTCCATTTTTTCTCCCCTCTGAGCCTTTTGCTGTCTTTTAAAAAAGCAGCTTGACATCAGTAGCTCCTGAAGCAGTCCTGTTCAGTGTTACTCTGGCATTTCTTCTTGATGCAGGACTCTAAGATTGCCCAGAATATTACCAGATTTCTGACTATGCTGAATTTTGAAACTCTGCATTTTCCCTCAGAGATTATGTTCTTCCATTCTGCTTCTCACCTTCCTGTGTTTCTAGATGGATGGTACTTTGCTGTCTCACCCACTCTGGTTTTCTCACCTGCTTTTGATAGTAAAATGTTAGAAGAAGAGAGTTTGAACTCCTGTTCTGGGGCTATAACCATCATTTCAGGCTGTCGTAAGAGTAACAGGTCAGGGAAACAAATGTTGGCCCTTTATGAGCATGACTAAATGAGCACCCATTACTCCAGGCTAGAGGATGTCACATTTGTCAGGGTAGAATCAGGGTGGAGGGGAATGTACAGTAACTTTTACCTCCACTCTTGATAGAGTGCAGATCACATTGATCTGTACCTGCTGGAGAAGGTGGCAAAGCAAACTCTGTGGGCAGTTTCATGGATTTTCATTTCCCATCTTTGTCTAGAGTAAATTAGCAAGTTCAATGAGATTTTCAGAGTATTGCCCTGTTCAAGTCATCGCTCAGAGAGGGGAATAACTTTCTGGAGTAGAGCAGGATGCCTGCATTCTCTCAGGATACAGGCTCTGCTTCCAGGTCTTTCCATAATTCTGAGAAATTGGAAGGCTCTGAAATACTCTCATGAAGTTTTTTATTTTCTTTAGAGCTCTGTTTTCCTGGGCATTGCATCACTGTGCCACCTTAGTTTGGGAAGAATATGTGCTGGCCTGGTAATTGTGCTACAGCAAAAGCTTTCCAGTTCCACACTGGAGCTGTAAATAAAAATGCAAACAGTGTCCCAAGTATTGACCAAATTATTGCATACATCTCCTGGAAACTGAATGTTAGTTGGCTTAATTGTCTGTAAAAGCATCTTGCTTAAGTAGTATATTTTTATGGGAAAATGGCATGGCCTAAAAGTATACTCCGTCATAATTTTCTTTTTTTTTTAATTAGATTGTGGAGGGAATGAAGAAGAATAAATGGAGTATTGAGAATATTGCCTTTGGATCTGGTGGAGCTTTGTTGCAGAAACTAACCAGAGACCTCTTAAACTGTTCCTTCAAATGTAGTTACGTGGTGACCAACGGCCTTGGGGTATGTCTGTGCACAGCTTCCACCCCTCTGCTTTCTGGAGAGGCCTCCCCATTTGAAAACCTGTTTGACATTTCCTGTTCTGTTACCAGCATCTGCATTAGGTCCCACAAAGCCCTTTCCTCCTAAAAAAATCCTCTTCATTTTAGATAAATGTCTTCAAAGATCCTGTAGCCGATCCCAACAAAAGGTCAAAGAAAGGACGGCTGTCGTTGCATAGGACACCAGCTGGGGAGTATGTGACACTGGAGGAAGGCAAAGGGGATCTTGAAGAGTATGGACAGGTAGGAATTTTCAACGTCTTCATGCAAAAATACACTGAGAAAAAGCAGGTTATAACTTAATTTCGGAATTTATTTCTGATCTGTCATTTTGTTCAATTCCCATTTTATTACCTTAAAATGACCTCAGTACCAAATTTGGTGGCAGCAGAGTGTTAGAATGACAGTAGAATGCAGGCTTTACAATTACAGATCTTTGGCTTTTTTTTGTCTTCAGAAACACGAGAACATTACCACTTCTCCTCAAAACTAAAGTCTCAGTGTTGCCTAATATATACTGGCCCGGTAGTTTTGTTTGGCCAATATTGCACAATTTGAGTAGTGACCCTTGGTGAAGGTGGAACAGCTGTAACTGCTTTAGCAAGAGTGTAACTTTAGTTACAGCTGTAATTAAAATGTGTTTCTACTTCCCCACTGAGATTTTTTTAAAATAGTTCCTTCAAGAATTAATGCTCTGTACGCAGAGTAATTCCACAGTTTTTAAAGATTCAGGAATTCAGTTTCTCTGTGAATTCTTTACAATTGTAAAATGGAATGCTGTTTCCATGAAATAAGTACAAAATTTATGCCAGTCTCAGGCTTTCAGTTTGATATGTCTTGTGTTTCAGTGTCCAACAGTGAATCACTGAATTGCATGTTGAGTCTCTTCCCAAGTTAAGAGGACTGAAAATAAGTTGTCAAATTGCACTTCTGCTTTTAGAAGTTGAAAGTTTTCTGGTATACAGAAGCTGTTTTTATACTACTAGGCAGAGGGTACTTACCAGGCACACTGCTTTACATAACTGTAAGCCTAAAACTTGGATCTCTGAAAAATTTCAAGATGAAGAAAACCTGACTTACACACACTGAAGATATGCTCTGGTCACAAAGATCTTGTATAAATTTGTAACTTTTTTCTATGCACATATTCCTTTACATATGTTAATTATGAACATTGATATATGTGTAGAGAGGGAAGGACCTAATGGTGAGAAATCTCTTCAGCACAAACTGCAAGACTTGGGCTCTGAAATTAGGCAATATGTTGTCCCTTCATTTTTGTCAGGTGAAATGATTCATTAAAATGTTTTGGTCCCAGGAAATTAGAGAGGGTCACTGGTGTGGTACCTGCTCTGGGGCTCCCTGGAAATGACAGGGAAATGTCCCCTTCTGTGTGCCCATTTCTCTAAAGCCACAGGTCCTTGCAGTAGGTCACCCAGTGCAGGGACTGCTCAGTGTTGCTGCTGTGCTGACTTTTGTTGCCAGCTGTGCTTGTTGCCCTTCCAGTGTGTGCTGTGTGCCAGCCTGTCCTGATATGCTGTTTTACAAAATATATGAATAAAAGGCACAGTGAAGAAAGATTTAATTTTTTCCTAGAGTTAAAAAATACTGCATTTAAACCTCTATAATTGGCTTGTATTTGGTTGTGTGTCACCTTTCTTACAAACTGCCCTAGATAGGTGTATTTAGTGTGTATTTTGCTTTGGCCAGGTACAGATACCACACTCAAGGGACCAGGGAGCACAAAGCTGCTGTCTGTGCACAGGATGACCCAAGCCCTTTCTTCTGTGTAACCATTAGTGAAAGGTGTCAGAAAAAGCTGTAAAGATTTAGTACCTTGTCAGTCTAGAGTTCCAGCCTTATCAGGCTGGGTTTGTGTGCTTGCTTTGGAGTTTGTGTAACCTGTGTTTGCCAAATCCCTCTTGCTAAAACAGCGGTGTTTCTTGCAGGACCTGCTTCACACTGTATTTAAGAATGGAAAGGTAACGAAGTCATATTCATTTGATGAAGTCAGACAGAATGCCAGGCTGAAGAACAGTGAATTACAATCAGCATCTCACTGAGTTCCATTCCATGTCTGTGTATGTGTGTGTAACTAGTTCGTACTGCATAGCTACTGGTTTATTGTACAGATTTGTGTGTTCGTGTTTTATGACATTGTAGCCAAATTATTTGTTGGTTTATGGACATACTGCCCTATCTTTTGCCAGTCTTTAGAAGATGAAATCAGGAAATGGTACTTACCTTGTAAAACGTATTTAATGCTGAAGTGTGCTTTTTAGGGCCCTTTGCCAGTAGTGATTCAATCTGGTATTGATCTTTTCACAAATGAGACAGAGCTGCGAAACTTTTTTATATATAACAGAATATCACAAAATGGATTTACATAAAATTATCATGATTGCTTTATGTTTATATTTAACTTGTATTTTTGTACAAACAAGATTGTGTAAAATATATTTAAAGTTTCAATAATTAAGTCTTTCCAACTTTTCATAATTTTTATGAGCACAGACTTTCAAGAAAATATTCAGTGGGGGGGAATCCATTGCCTTTTGTCCATTAATCAGCAAATAAAACATGGCCTTAAAAGTTTGTTGTGACATTGTTCCATTTGACAACTAAATCAGGACTCGTATCTCCTTAAGATCCCATAGAGTTGCTGACCTCACCATTTCTTGTAGTTGTCTGTATTAGTAAATCTGCATTAAACAAAATTACTGTTCTTTCTAGAAGGTTTAGGTATTACTGACCTTGCTGGCACAGTAAGGTGTGTAAGTGAAATGCCAAATTTGAAAGGATTCTCTACTGCAACTTAACTTGCCAAGTCTATCCCACTTGGTATATGCACCTCAATATTTTAAGAGTAAAGTTTTTAAGAGATCTCCTCTTCCACTATAGAATATATGTGTAAAATACTGAGATACGGAAGCGGTGTATTTTAAAATAATTACACTTCTGGGTTTATTTTTCATATACTGTAAGTGACATGAATTTAAAGCAAAATACTGGACTGGGTAGTGCACTTTTTTACTTTTTTGTATTTTTTTCATTGATTTGCCTTTTGTCAGACTGGATGTTAAATTGTAAAAATGTTTAACTATTTTTGTTAACAACTTTAATAAAACTATGCTAGCCAAACTCCTACATGAATGGCAGACCTGTTTCCCCTTCTCGCCCCATCTGTTTGGGGTGAGGAGGGGCTTTTATTTTGCAGAGGGTAACTGTAAAACAATGTGTTTGAGAGATACTTTTGAACTGTCTGCACTTGATTGTATTTGCTCTCTGCATATGCTTGATATAAGTATCTGCTGGAAAATGAAACTGTTGAGGATTTTATTTGAGAAGCTATGTAGTAACCTCTGAAATATGTGATAGTACTGTAGGATGGCTCTCACTAGAAAAGTACCTCCCTTAAAGACAAAAATACAACAGCAAAAGCAAACAGTTCCTGTTCTGCTGGTGATCAGCTATCAGCCAATTGCTTAATATACTGATGTAATTATTGCTTCTAATTAGTAGATGATGTTACTGGAAAATGTTAAGGCCTAAGATAATTTAAGCCTACAAAATTTTATAAAACATGCTTTTAAAGGAAGATTGAAAAGCCATACTTCATTGTTCTTACTCTCTCACCAAAAAGGGCCACATCAAGGCATCCATAATATTTCCAGGGTTTGTGGTTAAGATGTTTATGCCCAGTCTCAATAGTTCTTGTTAATAAAAACCTGTTTTTCACTTGTAGTGTATGTAATTATACATTTAAGTGATGTATTGTTTCAAGAATAGTGTTTTAGTAAAACTCTAAATGCTGACCTTTCACACTGAGGAACTGCCTTCCCTTAGCTATTAATTATATTGTTTGGTTTTGGCCCAGAAAGCTTTTGAATCTGGCCTTAGGATCAGTAGCAGGTAAATAGTACAGAGCCTATTTCACTCCTCCACATGTGTACTAGGGAATTTTATGATGTATGGTTTAAAAAACAATAAAGTAAATGCTGCTTTCATTCTGTACCAATAAAAATTTTGATAACTATTGACTACCCATAACTGATATTTTTGTACTTGAGAACTGAGGATATACTGTGGAAGCACTGTCTTCATGTGTACCATGAAATACATTGTAATTGTTCAGTATTGTCTAAAACTTTTCAACTTATTAGTTGGAAACTCAAAGCAAATTCTCTACTTGTGCATGTCACTTTCAGAAAGTTGTAATGTCACTCATTTTATTAAATGTTAATAACTTTAAAAGGGGAGGGGGGGGGAAGAAAAACACCTGGTGCTATTCAGACCTGAACACTTGTCTCTTTGTGTTTGGCAGTTTGACATTCTGGGCATCAAGGAGTTGACAGAAATTACTGCAGTGCTTGAACCATACAATATCCTAATTCTTCCACATGAAAGCAAACAGCATGTTTGTTTGCTTTAAATTACTAGATTTGTAGTCATTGATATATTTTAATTATCCCCATTTCATAATATAATACAGTATTTGTATTTAAAAATAGGAATTGGGAATTTTGTGTTTAATACTCTGATTTGTAACCATATTTAGTGTAAGAAATGGATTTTGTAAAACTATTTTTTTCTTCAGCTGCATGATTATAAAAAAAAAAAGATACTTTTTTGGTACTTTGAAAGATCTGAGGAGAGAACAGAAGAGTACTTAAACTGGTTTGCCAAAATCAAAACAAAGCTTAAACAGTTCTTTTCTTATAGGTTTTTACATTCCTTCTTGTTTAGTGAAGAATAAGTATTCCTCACTTAAATCCTCTGTTAAAGTAATTTTAATGTACTTGGCATCAAATACCAGTATGTAATACACATGGAAATAAAGTTTAGTTCTGGCAGTGAAAATCAGAGCCATCTGACTGTGTCTTAAAGTTAACTGATGCTGGGCACCAGAGATGTCATCCTGTGCTCTTTGTTGCCAAAGCCAGGCCAGAGCAGGGCTGTGCTGGTGCTGCATTCCTTTAAGGAGAGATGCTCAGCTCCTCACAGACAGCTGGGCTCTACAGAAGAGAAAGCAAACTGAGCTCCTTTTTTTCTTGTTTGGGGTGTGGGTATGTGTGTGTGTGGTTTTGGGGGTTTGGTTTGGTTTCTGGGTTTTTTTCCCTCCTTTTTTTTTTTTTTTTGTGTGTGTAAGTACATCCATGCTTCATTTTGTCTGTATTGAAAAGTAAAGCACTTGGCTTTGAATTTAAGAGATTATCCTCTATATTTGACAGAATCCTTTCTCAAATAAAGTTTCATTATTTCAACTTTAAAATCACTAGAATGCTTGTCTAAAGGCAAATTAACCACCAGTGTTACATCCTTCAGTTTGCTGCAGTACTGTCAGAAATAACCTCAGCTCTGTAGCAGAGAGAGTCCTTTGGACAGGATTTTTCTAACTAGAAGTTACACTTCAACTCCTGCGTGACTTCAAGTTGCAGCAGATAAGGTGCCAGCAGGGATGTGTCAGTAAGGGTGGATAAAGCACCTCCTGTGATGCCATCACCATTTGTTGCTGCTCCCTGCAGCTCTTGCTGTGGTGTAGAAAGGGGCTCTTACAGCCCACAATAATGCTTGAATTTAAAGGTTCTGTTCCATGATTTACAGAGAGCACGCACAGCCCAAGTGCCAGGGCTCCTCTGCCTCCTTTGCATGGAGTTAAAACCCAGGAGCTCCAGCACTGCCATCTCCTCACTCCTGTTAGACTCTGTGCAAGTCAGCCCTGAGCGGGTGGTGGTGGCTCCCAGGTCAGCTGCAGGGAAATTCCAGGCCTTGGCCTGTGCAGAAGGCAAGGGATTCACAGGAAGAGCTGCATTATTTGTCCTCCAATCCTACTATAACAATTAAAATTATAACTGAGCTGAGCTGCTTGAGGCAGGGGCTGTGAGGCTGCATTGGTGTGATGGTAATTGCATCTCTGCATGAAGGTCCCATCAGGGTCCTGTAGGTGCACATCTCCATCAGATTTGTAAACATCTGAGTGAGAAATCATCCTCTTAAACCTGATGAATGTGGCCTTATGTGGAGAACCACATGCCTTCTAAATTACCAGGTGATAAGGAAATAATGAGATTAGAGATGCTTTGTAAAGTCATGCCTGCTAAATCCCAGTTGCTAACCATGGATGTTATGTTCTTGGGAGGGTTTTCCTGTTTTACTAGCAGCACAGCTGATCTTGGGAATGATTTTAAAACCTCCTTCACAGAAAGGCATTTGGTTTTCATTAATCCAAAGGCCTGAAAAGCACTTAGCAATAGAGTATTTCTAAAACGCATTTTGCTGTGGCACCATATTTTGTTGAAAGGTACCCTGATGTCTGGCGTAATACAGAACAATTCTGAAGATACGGGAGAAAATCAGCAGGATTCTTCTCAAGTAACATATTTTGTTCCATATCATTTCCTTGCTAATCTTTGCATGAGTGCTCCTGATTGCTTTTTGAACAGAACTTCTAGAATTTTCAAGTTATGGTGAGGTTTCCTGGCATCAAAATGGCAGTTTTCTGCTTCTGGCTGGAGCAGAGGTCTTTTAAGGACAGATAAGGAGCCATTGTGCCCCTAGCAAGGTTTTTACTTCCCTCTTACACAACTCTTCTCAGTTCAAGGGCAAATTTATTGTTTGTTTACCACTGAGAAAAAAAAAATCAGTAAATTTGGGTTGTATAATTCCTTTTTTTCCCAACAGTTCAGTTTATATAGAAATCAAGATGTTTCACAGGATCACTAGATAAATTTACACAAGCAGACTAATTTTTAGTATATGTATTTATGCTTCATTGATAACTTGTTAGATCTGAGGATCTGATTCTTGGTAGTTGATCCAATGCTCATGTCAAGTAATCCTACTGCATATAGCCAGGTAATTATAAATTGCTGAAAATGGCTTCAGCATCTTCATATAATTACAGTGCTTTAGAAATTCAAGTGGGTAGATAATGGATGCAGGGAAGGTTCTGAGGGCTGGACATTTTTACTTCTTTGTCATTAATTTTGGTTATTAATGTAGCTATTTAAAGCTTCCACATCATCTCTGCTAGGAAACTTGTTTTATAATGTCTGAATACTCTTACCATCAAAATATTTCTATAAGTAGTACACATGTCAAACAAACTGCATGGACTCTGAATCTCATCTCTTGTAAGGTAAAGGGGAGAACTTCAGCCTCAAGCTTAATTCCCTTCCCTGCAAACAGAAGAAATGAGCTGTTCTTCAGCCTTTGGGACATGCTTTCCTCAGCTTCCTGGTGAAGAACAAGGCTGGTGTGCTCTTCCCTTTCAAGGAAGTTTTCCCCATTCCAAAAGATGCCACCCTATTTTAAGCATAAGGAATTGTAGCTTGTTGTTGGATGTGTCAGAAGGATGACATAGCCCAGCAATTTAAGAGGATAATCTGTGTGAGATGGCTTTGGGTAGAGATATGTCTGTAAGTCACAGAAAGGTCACTCAGAGCATGACAACTAATCTCCCTCTGGTGGGGGAGCCTCCCTGCCCTTTCTGCCTCAGCTGAGCAGGTTCAAGTCTGTCCTGTAATCTGCTGTGAAAACACTGAGTCTGTTCAACCAAAACAAAGTGTTGCCAGGCCCCTGTGATTACAAAGCAGTGGTCTGTTCATGTGCCCTGCTCTAATGTTAATCAATTTTTCAAGCTTTGTATCTTACATCTACTTAGCCCAAATGCCAGTGACAAACTTCACAAAGCTCCTGTTCCTCCCCCACACTGAGGGTTTTGCAGCCTCAACTCCAGCCCTGCTGCTTGAAGACCATTATTTGTTTTTATTGCTACTGTAAATCTCCAGAAGATAACAAGAATTATTTCACCTCTGTACAAGGTTTTGCAATCATTACATCTTCAAATAAAAGCAAGTAGATTCATGCATTAAGATCAGAGAGAGGTGACCCTTTGTTACCTTTTGTGTCCAAGTTGTGATCATGAAAATGTTAACAGACATGAATCCGGCAAAAATAAGGATATGTTCTCCTGAAAATTGGTTTCCATGTAAAAGCCCTATACTTTTACATGAAAACATATATTTAGAACTTTTATGGTCATTAATGAATCACTGCTGGATACTCAAGCACTTTAGCTTGGTTTCTGCAGGTGCTTCTTGACAGTGCCATGTGGGTTGCCCACAGGTTATCCCATCAGACAGGGTCTTGTGTCTGCTGGGAAAGTCCAACACTACATGAAATAACCTGTCCCACTGCCATCCCAACCACCAAAGCTGGGTTTGCTGAGCCTAATTCAGCTCCAGCTCTGGTTGTAGCTGTGCAGACTTCCCATGGCTCTTACCTTTGGAGAGAGCACACATGGTTAATCCCTGGTCTGTCTTTCACAGCCCATTGTGGATTAGGCAAGGCCTGGGAAGAGTTTCAGTCGTTTCTTCTCTGTTACAACAGAGCCCTGCCCAAAGGCATTTTGAGACAAGAACCCATATGGTTATTGAATATGTGGTGTGCTGTAACCCAGCACAAGAGGAGGGAGTGACTTTGGGGCTTGTGGTATGATTGTAAATAATAACTCCTACCCAAATCAATTGATTAGACACAAGTGCTGTCAGTGGTTGCTATAACATCACAGCAGAGACAAGGCAATTGAGGCAAGTCAGCTAAGGCCTCTGGTTCTTTCTCAAAGGCTTTTTCTATCCACTACTCTCTTAACACACATGAAATTTGGGAAATCCCACTACCATCAATCACCCATGTGTAATTTTCCTACAATGGCATAAATCTCTGTGTCACACTGTTCTTGCCTGGCATTTGACTTACCAGCGTTTGGTTTGATTTGCTTTGGTATTAGTGCTTCTGCACTCTGTACTGACATATTATTAAGCTATTTTTATAATACCAGGACTTTCTATTTAAGAGGTAGTAGATGAATCATAACATGTCTCTTTTTGCAAGGTCAGGATTATTTTCTCCTGTGCACATTGGTTTATGCCAAACTTCATGTCCTATTATAATTTGCATTCACAGTGTTTCATAAAGTCCTTTTGCAATTCTTCACAATCAGCTCCCACCTTTATTGCTGTGCATGACTCAGCACCTCCAGCAAGCTGTCACCTCCTTACCCACCCTTCTCTACATTGTTTAACATGAAAAGCAGCAGGAGCTCCAGCACAGGTCACCAAGTGGAGTTTCACTCTGTGAGAAAGCTAAGTAACTTCCTATTATTTTCTTTGATCAATGTTGTGAACATGTAAGGACCTCTCCTCGTGTCTCAAAACTTCTTAGCTTCCTTGAAAACTTTATAATAAATCTTGTTGAATGCCTTT